GGGACGAATAAACTCAGCGGGAGAAGGGGGTCCAGCAGTACCCAGAAGGTATATAGAGGGGAGGAAGAGAACAAGGGGGGAGAGGAGGCATCATGAAGAATCCCCTAGCTATCACCTGAGCTGCAACAAGAGCTGTACCAGGGGAAAGAATTGTGCCCAGGCCTGGAAGGTGTCCAGTCTGAGAAAAACTTACTGAAACATCTCTGAGGGTGAGATTATCTGTATTTAGTTTGATTAGACATAGATTTGCGCATTTTATTTTATTTTGCTTTGTGACTTACTTTGTTCTGACTGTTACTACTTTGAACCACTTAAATCCTACTGTCTGTATTTAATAAAATCACTTTTTATTTGGTAATTTACTCAGAGTATGTATTAATACCTGAGGGAGCAAACAACTGTGCATATCTCTCTACCAGTGTTATAGAGGGCGAACAATTTATGAGTTTGCCCTGCATAAGCTTTATACCGGGTAAAACGGATTTATCTGGGTTTAGAGTTGGGCATCTGAGTGCTAAAGACAAGCACACTTCTGGGAGCTGTTTTCAGGTAAACTTGCAGCTTTGGGACAAGTGATTCAGACCCTGGGTCTGTCTGGAGCCAGACGGGAGTGTCTGGCTCAGCAAGACAGGGTGCTGGAGTCCTGAGCTGGCAGGGAAAACAGAAGCGGGAGTAGTCTTTGCACATCAGGTGGCAGCTCCCAAGGAGGTTTCTGTGATCCAACCCGTCACACTGCGGTCTGTCAACTCCTATGTCCTGCCCTGACAAAGGCCGGGGGAAGGTGATCGGAGCACTTCCTGCCAAAACTGGTGCCTTTCTTTTCACCTCTTCCCTGTGGAAATGTTCTTTCAGGCTGCGTGGTGCACTCACCATTGGCCAGAGGGTGTAGAGACTGAGTGTGTAATTTCAGTGTGGCATTAGTGATAATCAATGCTTTGCAAGTTGGTTCCTTCCATCCTATAATCTCAAAGCATGTCCTAAGCTCTTTGTGATCCATACAGCCCCCTAAGAGGTAGGCAAGTGGTATCGTTCCCATTTTACAGATGTGAAAAACGACACTTCCGAGATCACAAAGCAATTTGTGGGTCGGGGCAATGCTGGGAACAGAACCCTGACTTTCTGGCTGTCAATCTTCAGCCCCGAGGTTGTCCTTCCTATTCAATACACGTATAGTGTTTTTACTTCTTCAAATGTCAACCAGTCCATCCCCAAACATGCCAATGAGGTAGGTGACTAAGTACTGTCCCAATTTCCGAGATGGAAAAACTAGACTGTCTAGTTCAGGGCCACACAGTAACTTGGTATCAGAGCCAGGATTAGGTCTCAGGAGTTGCTGGTCCCCAGTCCCATACTCACTCCTTAAACTGTTCGGGGAGATTTTGGCAAACCAGTAAAGTGCCTAAACCACGGTCGCTTGTTGCTAACAGTAGTCAAGTTAGCAGGCCATCCTGAACCATTCTTGCTTATTTCTCAAAGCAGCCAAATCAGCAGGTTGTAAATTGGTCATGCAGCGGCCTCAGTGTAACCAGACAGAAGGGGGTGGGTTTTGGCAACATGCAGTCTTCAGGCCTGATCCTGTGAGGTGCTGAGCCTCAACTCCCAGTGTCTTCCACGGAGTTGCGGGCGCTCAGCAGGGGACTCTTGTATAACCTGTTAAGCGGTGGCTGCCTGATCACGCCAGTCTCTCCTTTCCATCTAAATCTCTGCTAGTGAATGCCGTGCTTAGGCAAGAAGCTGGCACTCCCAGAACAGCTGAGGTCAAGAAGAAAAGGAAGCCGTTACCTGTTAGGATCAAGTTCTGCTCCCACTAAAGCCCATGATCACTTTGCCCTTTACCACAGGGGTGGGACTAAGGTTTGGTTTTTGAGACTAAAGTCCTGTATCAACTGAACACCTCAGTGCAAGCTTCTCTACACTGCCTCCCCGTGTTCCTCCAGCCTGGCCTGGAGGGACCTCTGCTAAAG